TTCAAGATCCTAAGGCATTTGAAGATGAACAATTGAGACATATACATCACCAAAGATCTAACTGATACTGGTTAAAAAATGATAGTGGATAAAGCTTACGGCGTTGATCCATCTCTGACAAATGAGCCACGCACGCGACTTCACCAATCTTCGTTAGAAAATGACTGATTGTGTATTGGCCTACACAATAACTCGCAGTGGCCTACCGAAGAGCCAAGTCAGCGTGCTATCGTCCCAGGGAAATCTGGTATCATTTCGCCGACCGTGGGGAGATAGAAGGCTTGGCGCGGGACCCAACGATCGACCAAATATGCATCGCAAGGCACTTCTAACAACTGCGCCACATGCGCTCGATATGGGGAGCAATAGTCTGTTAATATATGGATAGGCCTTAGTTCTAAAAAAGCGAGCTGGATCCACCATATTCTTGAATTCAGTGGCATTTTCTTATGTAGACAGGAAAATTTCTTTACAGTATTGCGACTGCCTCTCCAGGAGTAATCACGTGTTATCGCTGGAGCTATTCTCCTACTGTTATGAATGGAAAAGAGGATAATGCTGTTTACTAAGCTCTTCCATTAAGGCCCTGATTCAGAGATCTGTTCACTCTTTGCACTCCAAAGATGGAGAATTCCAAACCAGTGTGCTTAAGTGACCATACTGTGATAATGCCTACCATAAAAAGAAGTTCGGCATTTACAAGAGACTTCTGATATGGTTTGACGTAGCAAACCAGTGAAGGTAACAGAGGTATAAGAGATCTATACTCACCTCATGCAATAAATGCGCTTTTTCTTTGGGGCACTTAGAAAAGCCAGCCTTTTCAACACACGCTCGGGCCAAACGCCACAGTACTTCCACATGGGAGAAGTCAGAGAACCTGAAGGATGAAATATCGAGCACGTTATTTATACGACTAAAAAAATTTTGCATCGCAAAACAATCTTCTAAGTTTGAATAGGACATCGTCCACGACTGTTGTGTGCTAACAATTACTAACGAGTTATGCAGGCGTACATCAACTTCTGAAGATCATTGCAGGGAATGCATATCTGATTAAGTTCGTTCGTGTTAAGAACACAGAAGTTTCCAATATTTTGTTTGCGAATCAACCCTCTGGGTGCACACGTTGAATTTTCGTCTAAAACACGGCGCTTACCGGCCGGCGAGGCGCGGCTGATGAGATTCCAATGAGCTTATCGGTAGTAGAAACAACGCCAATGCTTCCTAATGAACAACAAAACGTCTGTCAAGAATAAAATTCATATTCTACGATGTGGATGTATATTGTAATCGCTTCTTCACAAGAATTTGTGTAAGTCTATTGTAAAAAGCAGTTATGACTGCATGTTGCTGATAAACAAAAATTCTTCGTAGAGTATTGTAAAACTGCCAATCGTAGATGCTGTACGAATAATGAAATAAGTAGAATAAAAATAAGAACAGCCACGTAAGATTAATTGCTTCTTTTCCGTTATACGGCACAGGATCAAAAACCGATTCCACTTTGCTGGACAAGAAATATTCATAAGAGTTTTGATAATCATTCAAAAGCTTAAATCTCTGGCTAGCGCCATAAATGGCTGTTTTCCAAATAGATTCTTCTATAACGCTGTAAAAATCAAAATAAAATTATGTTTCACATCGGCCGCGTAACTGAGACATTATTTTGCTGGAAGCACGAAAAGTACATGAAGGGCAGTGGAAATCTTTTAGTGTCAGAGTCAAATGTTTAATCTGAAAATTTTTTCCAAAGGGGAGGAACAATTCCTGAGTGAATAACAAAAATAGCACTTTATATATGCTCGTCTAAGAGCCATTAGATCTACGGCCGTTTAAAACGGCATTACCCGTCCTGATACCCGCCTCTATTCCGTAGAATAGCCAAATATCCATCCTCGCGTATGTAAAATTGATCCTATTCACCTTGCTGCACTACAGAGAAACGGTCTTTCCAGAAAAAAGGCACAACGTTGGAATCCTTGAATTCTACGCTATCGAATAATTACTAATACTCCAGGGAAAGAACTATGTCTTGCACGAAAAAGGGTATGTGTGAACAAAGATGTTTTCCTTTCGTCGAAGCGCTAAAGAATTTTCCAAAAAACCGGCTATGTACGGCCCTAGCCAGAGATCTAAGCTTTAAAATGGTTACTAACACTCTCATGAAAAGTTCTTATTCAGCGAAACAGATCGGTCTTCGATCTCGTGCCGTCAAATGGAAAAGTTTCGTTTATTAAATAAGCAACAAATTTGTATCGGGGCGCGCATTCATTAAAGTCAGCCCGGACAAACCGGGATGCGACGCAGCAATCGGTGCATTGGAAATGATGCATTTGGTACCCGAACGGTTGACAGGATAACCTTTAGATCTCTTTACAAATTATGATAGCCATTTGAATTTTCTCGAGATCGGAAATAAGGTAAGCTCAGAACATGAGGCATAGCAGCCCACTATCATCTGTGTTTAATGAAGGTATCGAAATATGATCCACATAACAAAGCTTTTCGACCTACAAGAGAAAGAAGAGCAGATGAGAAAAAGGGAGTCCGATAATAATAATAATAATGATAACAATAATAATAGTGATAATAATAATGCAAGCCAACTTTTTGAGAGATTCGTAGGATTTCTGTAGTGCTGATGGTGACCACGTGTAACCGTGACGGCCAAGCCTCTTCAGTGATTCTTCCAATTCTATCACTTCCTTTTTGTACCTGTAATTTGTAGGGAATGTTGCGGAGATAAGAAAGTACAATGCACCTAACCTTCACATGTTTAAAAGCAAAACGCTCGATTTCATGTCGAAAAACTTCTTTCATTTGATGCTCCTCGTAGATCAATTATTTCATTGAAAAAATCTCATTAAAAAGAAATTGTACGCCGAAGTAGTACTTTCTATTGCCTCGAGGTATAAATACACAATGAATCAGCCAAGAAAGTTTCATGAATTCCTGATCTAACAGCGTTTCCCACGCAACATCTGAATAATTAATGGTTAGAGGACCAAGTAAAGGATCAAGGATAAAGTTCTCGGCTCTGACTAATCTATGATCAACAAGGATTCCTGATGGTCCGCCGATTTAACGGTAGCCACTGCTCCTATCTTCCCAGATAGTTCTGGTACCAATTCTAACCTCGGATGGATAGGTATGGTGAGCCATAGGCGCGAGACTGAGCCATCGACCACATGTGTGTTCCAGGGTACCTCAGGCCACTGCGCCAGGCGGGCCTTCGATGTCCTATTGTTCCATGTCTATGTACTACCTAACAAATCAGCACAAACTTGTTCTGTCCGCTACGAAAAATCCTCTTTAATGGGAACAAATGCGGCCTCGGTAGGGTAGCGATCCACGCCTCCCTGTACGGATGAAACGCGGGTTCGACTATCAGCTAACGTCGAAACTCTGCATACCACTCATCACCCTTTGATATATGAGGGCGGAGAAGGTAATCTTACCTAAAACGGAAGCTTTGTGTACTGAAGAAACCAAATCTCTTAAAGAGACGTCTGCTGTTAGGTTGAAAGAGTGGCAGCAGAATAGGGACACCAGTAACGCAGTGTGGTTAGCACGCCACCCACGCACCCGGGAGTTCCACTCTCGCTCCAGGCTCCATGCCTTGCATCTCACTCAACATTTTTTAATATCTCTTGTTAGATTCCTTATGATTAACTGCATTTACAAAACTAACGCGCGGCTCTTGATTCAGTGCAAATTTACGATCAGTTCTGATCATTTCTTTTGATAAGAGGTAGTCTGATACTGAAATTCAGTAGATTATATATTAGTTCGTCCCATAAGATTTGACACTAGAGCAATAAACAAAAAAAATTATTAACCAGAAGTAATTAAAATTGCATGATTTTTCACAAACTGTCCTTTCTTTATCAAAACTTGCACGAGGTTGTACTTCTTTTTTTACTTTTTTTCATTTTTTGAGTAAAAGAAAGGACAGTTTAAGAGAAATTTTGCATTTCCTGATTATGCCGAAGTTCAGAGATAGTCGGACTTTTGAACTGAAATTGCATAGCTTTAGTATCGTTCAAAAGCGCATTCTCTTACAGACATTTTTGTATACAACTTGCCTACATTTGCTTTAAGATGGACCTGTAGTGGGAACAAATTCGCTTGCTACTCATACACGAATGACGTTCAGAGGAAAATTCTAGTGAAGCGGCGCACAAGATTAATGGAGCCTCTGGTGGACGTCCCGAGCATGACTGACCCTCCAGACTGTTCTCTCCAGCTATAAAATTCTCGGATCACTTCCTCGCTGTCCTTTTTGCAACCGTACCATCGTCCCCACTCCTTAGACCTTACGCGCCGCTTCACTAGCATTTTCTTCTCTGCGTCATTCGTGCATAAGTGCCAAGCGAATTTGTTCCCAGAACAGCTTCATGTTGAAGCAAGTGTAGGCAAGTTTTATACCAAAATGTGCACAAGAAAATGCACACTTGAACGATGTTAAAATCATGGAATTTTGGTTGCTCCTTGTTGCTAAATTTGGTGTCTATTGCTCTAGTGCCAGAACTAATGGATCGACCTGGTATTATGAAGGTGAAGAAACGCTACCAATCCGGCTTCTTTGCTAGTTCCTTGTCACTAAGACACATCGCAGTAGCACAGAGTTGCACTCCAGCAGCACTGGCAAGGACTCGACCGACGCCGCGCCGGAACATCTCCAAACTCACCCCCTGAATCCTCATCAAATCATAAACTTACAAAATTATAACGTACAAATTTTGCCATTTTCACGATAGTTCTGGAAAATATCAAAACAAACATTTATAAAATACAACGTATCTCCGGGAAAGAACCGAAAATTAAAGAAGTTTTTTGATGAGTAGTAAGAGAGGAAGTAAGACTCATTGAGCCATGATCGCAAATAATTCTAGTAAAACGCAAAAAAATCGATACAAAAGAGATCTGTTAAGAAATAAACAGCTTGAAACTCAGGACTGATATAACTAAGAGAATTGAGTGGTGAGCAAAAAGACGGCCTTACGCGGGAATCGAACCCGCGTTTCATCCTGTCCGGGGACGCGTGCTCTACCACTACACCACCAAGGCACATTTGCCTGACCATTCATTCCTTAACATCCCAATGTTAGCTATCAACCACCAACCTTTAACAGGTTTGGTCGGGTATGCGATTTCGCTTTATAAATCCCGTTAAGCTGACAGCCACTGTTATATATAATACTTCGAAAAAAGGTTGAAGGCCTGTTAAAGGTTGGTGGGTGATAGTTAACATAGAGATGTTGAAGAATGAGTGGTCGGGCAAATGTGCCTCGGTGGTGTGGTGGTAGAGCACGCGTCCCCGGATAGGATAAAATGCGAGTTCGATTCCCGACTAAGGCCGTGTTTTTGCTCACCACTCAATCCTCTTAGTTATACAGTAACATCATAACACTGCGAAAAAAGCAGTGGAAATACTATAATTTCTAAATATTATATACTCACGACTGAATAGCGAGCGAGCACTGATGCAGTGTAACAGAGATTAACCGAATTTTTTTTTACCTCAAAACCTTTATGAAAAGTCAGCGCATGTGGCGCAGTGGTTGGAGGTGCCTCGCGACACACACGTGGTCGATGATTTGATCCCGCGTCCGCGGCTCAACAAATCTTCCGTTCCTCGAAAATCGGCGAAGCAATGCCAGACTTGTCTGGGAGGACAACGAAGATAGAAGGGAACACCTTAGCTCGGTTAACTACGAAGTTGTAAGGTGAATCGTCGAATTGCTCAAGCAGAAGCCAAGGCCGACGGCGAGGAGACTAATCAGAAAGTCAGAAAGAATGCAGAAAGTCCTCGGATCCGAGCAGTAAATTGTGATATCGACTCATATAAAACAGAAAGTATGGATAGAGGGGAATCCTTAACATGATTAATCGATTGCAAAGCAAATATAGAAGATTACTCTAGATGCACTCGACATCTTTCAATTAACAAATGGATAAGATAGTTTCTCTGAGGCACGAATGGAAACCAATGCGTGCCGGCCACCATGGGCTAAATGCCACGGTGCAGAAGTCATTGCGGTTCTTGAAAAGTAAGATCTTCCTGCTTGGACGCTAGTGGTGAGTTGTGGTCCCACAAATTTTGCCTAAGCCGAAGCCTAAACCTAAGTCTAAACTTAAGCCGAAACTTGAGCCAAAGCCTATACTTCTCGTAATATCTTATTTAGGAAGATCAACTTGAAAAATCTAAGAACTGATCGAACCAAAATTCTCCAGAAGGCCGCTGTCTGATGGCAAAATTTGTCCGAGAACTAAAACCGCAATCACTTTTGCATCAGCGTGGTTCATAAAACGAAGCTGGATGCCTTAACTCAACTACGTTCAAAATTACAAAGGGATTTACTCAGAAAAAAATGCGATGGCGGCTCTTGTAGAATAAAAAAACCGGTCGAATGGATTCTATCAAATGACCTCCCAACGAAGAAAAAACGGAAGAATACCTAGAGCTTATCGGCGACGATTCCCTGGATTTCCAGTTGAAGTAACCCACTGCGGAAGGCAGGTCCTCTTCGACCCTCACCTTTTCGAAAGCCCTTTTCCGTTGGATGAAGCCTTTTCATTAGGACTTTAGTAACCATTCGAAAGCTTAGATCTCGGTGACTTCAATACTGTGCTTCACATCTTGAAAGGCTTCCTCAGTGCACTGCTACAACGAAAATAAATCTATGATTCACACTTGGGATGCTTTGCTTACTCGGCTAAGATCTGTGGATCGCTTTATTAGACTAAGTTAGTAGTCTTTCGATAGCAAAAATCACGGCGATTCCAAAGCTACAATTGATTTCTGCGAAAGTCTTCAAAGAGCGTTACAGGAGCGAAATAAAGATTACGATTCACGCTTGGGGTTTTCATCGCAGCAGAGAGTCCTATATGGACAAGAAGTATATGAGCGTGTAGAGAAAATCATGTAGTACCAGAATAAAGCGAAAAAATCAAACGCTATTTCCCATACAAAGAAAAATTCCTTATCAAATAGAGGAAATCGCGCGTGGCCTGCGAAAATCGATACGGTGCATTTCGCAGAGATAGGAGACATGTATTCCATGCCTTGAATTTTCAGTTCGATTGGATAATTAAATCGAGGCACGAATGGAAACCAATGCATGGTGTCCACTGGGGTCAAACACTATCGATCAATACGCATAATACCCACAAGAAACCTACCACGACTGAAACAACCGCCTAGTAGACGTGATATTAGTAGAAATTAGCTCTCGTTGAAACAGATGCCGTGCCCAACGACGCAACAAATGACGATGCTCGTGGAAAATCTGAGATGTGTAAGCTGTAGTTACGTTGTGTCAGATACCGATGTTAGCCTTTATTTTCTTTCCACAGGGTTTGTGGATGTCCAGGGGTTATTTCCTTTTTTGGTCGGGGTTTATTTCTCGTAAATCACTAATTTTGGTTACCATTTGACCTACGGTGTTAAGAAATGCAACTATTGATCTCTTATATTTCTCAACCGGCGCGAGGGGATTACCTATTTGTTACCTCATTTAATTAGTTCTTTTTTATCTATTCAGTTGATTATTCAGTTTAATATGCTTATCCAGCAATGCACCATTCGACTAATTTTGTGATTCCTTATGTTTTACTGCTTCTTCGCAGTGCTATGACGTTTTGAAAATGCCTAAGAGAATTGAAAAGGGCAAGCAAAAATTCATAAATTTTGGATTTATGGCGCAGTTGTTAGAGGTGCTCTGCGTCGCACACGAGGTTAATGGTTCGATCTCGCGCTCAGGGCTCACCAAGCCATCCATCTCTCGAGGTCGCAAAATTGGTACCAGACTGGTCTCAGACTTGTCTGGGAGGATAAGCAGCACTGACTCGGTTCAGCGGGGAGGCCACCGCGAGTCATTGTAAAGACCAGATATGCATTCAGTCACCTCAAACGAGGTTAAAAATTGAAGGCGAATGCCTGGCGCATCCCTCAGGGTTCGACCAACGCCGAGAGCTTTGTCCCTTATCCTTTTGTGTAAGTAGACCAAACCTTTCAATGGTTGGTGGGTGATAGCTCTCTTAGAGAGAAGTTGGAGAACGAGTGGTGAATAAACAAGCTCTGGCCTCGGTTGTGTAAGTGATAGCACGCGTCCCCGGCAAGGATGAAACGCGGGTTCAACTCCCGTCTGAGGTCGAGTTTTTGCTTGTCACCTAATTTTCTCAGAAATGATTCGACTAGTTCGGTGTATTGTTCGATAACTGCTCAATATGTCACTTGACGAACGTTTCTTTTTCTTTTCTTTTTCTCTTTTTTCATCTCCTATAAGAATTCTATTCGAGCCGAAGAAACTAAAAAATGTACTGATTATTCATATTGCTTAGGTAGTCGATTTAGTAAAGTAGTGCTATAGCTATTTGTATACAGTAAGCTGTATTCCCTTCCAGGTGGTTTACCGCCTCATCATGGTAGGGAGGTGTTCCTGAGTGTCGGACTAGGAAACACAGCCGGGGGTTCAAGCCCTAGCAGGGCTACTCAGGCTGAGAGGAAGTCCGACGTTCCCGCCCGAAAAACCCAGCTAAAAGTGAACCGTACCAGCCAGCCATGACCGGCGTCTTGGTAGTTACTAGTCGAAAGGTGACAAGCTCTCTCTGATCCACAAAGGCCTGCGACTACTTCAATGTGGTGACCACCCGAGGAAGCCCCGGCTAGCCCCACCTTGGCACTCCAAGGAACAGAACAGCTAAACCGGCACAATTTTCTTGTGTTGAGGCTCCCTTCATCGGTTGAGATGGCCCGTCAAGTATTCAAAAAAGCCTTGTATGTGTCTATTATTCTAGCCATTTTCATCTTGTTTTCATTATTCGCTATTCTATTCATACTTTACTTATCCTACTATTCTTTATGGAACGGCATGTCCATTCCCTCGTGACTTTCTGAATTCACAAATTCATAGGTAAATATATGAGGAAGGAGCCGTGGCCGAGTGGTTTTCACGCTCGCTGCAGCGCGGGATTGATCCCTGGGTCTGAGTTTACTGCTGATATGTGCTTGGCTGACCAGACTTGTTGAGTATTGGTTGCTGACAGCTGTGATAGGGTATATCGAAGAAAGAGTGGTGCCAAAGGGGTGGCCGGCCCCGTTGCTGTGGTTAGTTATAACACGCGCCTCATTGCGGATGAAATCGCATTCAAATTCCTCTTGCGATCGAAGTTTTGCATGATCTAAGCCACTTGAAACAAAAATTTTCGAAAGATATTCGGAGCTTTGAAGCAGTAGAGTGTTAAAAGCCTCTCGATAGTAGTAGTGGAAATATGACAGACTACAGTTTCTACTAGACGTTGTCGGTCAAAGTTTTTATGTGATTTCACATAACTTGGGTAAAGAGGAAGGGTGAGATGCGGGTTCGAATCCCGTCTAACGTTCAAAATTTTGCACGTCACTTAAGACTACTGAATATATATTTGTGACATGCCACCCTCGAAAGCGATAAAACAGAGAACTCTTTTCTTTTTAGTCATACCCATAACTTGGGTAATACAACAATAGGTATCTCTCCTGTAATCACGTAGCCTTCACTTGACTCCTTCAAGGTTCACAACATCGCCTGTCTATTAACCTCGACATTGTCTAATAGTTTCCGATCTTTCCTTGACAAACCAGACTACAATGTTGTCGTAAAAGAGTTTAATTGATTACCTGTGACGTTTCGGCGGATTGCTACTCTTTTTCAAAGCCTGGAAAGATAAATCCATGTGATCGACTGTTTTTAAAACCTCGTAATAAACATTCAAAATAACCAAAAAAAAAAGAATGCTTTTAGCCTAAACGAGGTTGGTACGCTAGGGTCATACACCGGTGTTTCGGAGGTCTCGGCCTCCTCGTCAGTGACCCCCCCCCCCACATTAAGCCCTGCATTATAGCAAGGAGGGAGGCGTATGTGGTGATGGCATAGTGTACAATGACACTGGTCCATCATCACTACTCAATCGATGGATCTCGGCTGGTAGATCAAAATAAATCCATGTGATCGACTGTTTTTTGAACACGGCCCCGCGTTGTAGCGTAAATAAGAGTGCTGTGCAAAGCGAGCGTCGGTAGTGCAACGGTTAGCATACGCTGAAAGAGTGAGATCTGGGTTCGAATCCCGGCTGACGCAAACGTTTTTGCACAGCACTCCACATATTGGGAGATAGGATGTCTACAACCCTTCCAGCCGAACTCCTTCATTATTCAGCAGATAAAGAAAGACTGCACTTGACTTGGAAGGTGGCAAAATCCTTTGAAACATCAGGTGTTCAAGTAGATATCATTGTAACAACATGGTATCTTAGCATACCGTCGAAAATCTGAGGAAGCTCGACATCTAATCGATGAGGATCAATTATTTAATTGCTAGTTGAGCCCTAGTATGATGTTATAACTATTTATACGATAATGTTGAGTGATATGGAGAACTTTGGATCTCGTCGGGCGGAGTTAAACCCGCGTCTCACCCTCTCCGGGGCGCGTTCTAACTACTCCACTACCGGGGCTCCTGTTCTGCCATCACCCTTTCTGTAATACAAGGGTGAACGCTGTTGAGAGCTATTTTTTGTGTCCCTCTGCCATCTCAGGCAAGTGGGTGTGTTTATGATCTCTGAATGTGTTTTGTTTTGTAATTTATAAATAAGACTTTCATCTGTACATTGTCTCGGCTATTCGTATCTGTTAAGTGAATCTATCGATTGAACTACTCAATTAATTTAACTTTATTCAAAATTTTGTTTAGGAGCGATGACTTCAGTGGACGAAGGTGTCAGCTCCGATGAAGAGAGTGGGAAGCAGAAAACACTGACGAAAAAACAACTACAGGTAAGACGGGGTTTTTTTGAAGTCTCGTTGCGATTTCCTCATTATTGAAGGTATTTCTTTTACCCTATGACAGTTGAAAGTAATTTTTCATGCATTTTTTTTGGATAGGCTACACTCGGCTTCTACTTTGATTGATGCAAAGTATTTCTCTCGTTTGCAATCTTAGTTTTTTTCGTTTACTAGGAACTGGAACGTCGTCGACTGAAAAACAAGAAGAAAAAAGCAGTCGAAACGTCGGAAAGGAGCGGCAGAAGATGGCGATGTCAACGATGCGATTGTTCTTAATTCCGATGAGAAGCACTCGGACACAGAACTCCCGAACGATGGGGAAGAGAATGGACCGAAAAATATAGTACGTTTATGTGATTACCATTTCTCCTACAGTTCTCACTAAATGGGAGGCTATGGCCGAGTGGTTATCGGTACTCGGTACTAGATTAATCCTCTCCCACCCTCAACATACTTCGACAATCGATCAACGAACGCCCTAAGGAATGCCCCAGCCTGGCTATTCTCGTGGTTAGATGGACATCTTCCTAATCAGTGTTCTACGACCTTCGTTAAGGAGATCAAATCTCCGAGCAACCGGTGAAAAGGAAGAGAAGAGAAGTTTCAGGATCCGCACGATGAAGATCGAATTTGGATTTTTTGAAAATAAATTTGATTAATAAAATTTTATCAAACTCATCGTTACAGACCGATGATCTTGAGGTAGAGATAGACTATGTTGGTGAAGCACCCAAGCTAGATGAGAATGATCCGAATTATCAGTATTTCAATGCAATCTTCAGCGCCTTCAAGGTATATGATGTGGGATTTATATGCTTAATTGTCCATTTCAAGTATTTTTTCAATTTGCTATTTGTCTATCAACCACTATGGGAGACACTCCATCTCAGATTGAAGCTGCTGCCGAAGCTAATGAGTCTGAAGAAGGCGCTATTTCGTCCGGAAAGGAGCATAAAAGAGACGAAGAAAACAATCGCGCATCGATATCCGAGAAGATTTTGCAAGAAGAAATCAACGTTAGTTGTATATCTTGCTACATTTCTATGTAGTCCCTAATTTTGTAATCTAAAGAGCTTTGTTTAAGGACAAACTAAATGATCCTAATGAGGAGAAGATGTCGAGGAGGAAACTGCGTTTAGCTATGCAACCAAGTATCGCCGAAACTGAAGGAGGTAGGCGGTCGTTTTCAATCATGGCTCGACGAAATTCTTTTAAGGCAGTTTTCTGGACTTTTCGGTCTTTCTTCTATTCCACGTGGAATTCTTATAGTCTACACGTCGGCCGGATGTGGTAGAGTGGGCTGATGTAACGTCAAGAGACCCGTTCATGCTAGTTGCCCTGAAGTCTTATCGAAAACACTGTTCCAGTTCCTCGGCACTGGAATGCCAAGAGAAAGTGAGTGTTGTTATCGGTTATACGAGTGGTGAGAAGTGGTCATTGATAGTACTTCTGCAGAGATTCGGCTATGTGTTCAGGTATCTTTCTGGTAAACGTGGATTTGAACGGCCTCCATTTGAATTGCCGGACTTCATCAAACGTACTGGCATTCAAGACATGCGTGAAGCTCTGTGGGAGAAGGTATTTAGTGTCCCATCGATTGATTCTTGCCTGTTCTCATATCCTCCAGTTTACAGGAAGAAAACCAGAACCTGAAGTCGAAGATGCGTGAACGTGCTCGTCCAAAATTGGGAAAGATTGATATAGATTACCAAAAGCTGCACGATGCTTTCTTCAAATGGCAAACGAAGCCATTTATGACAATGATGGGAGAGTTGTATTATGAAGGAAAAGTAAGTATTTGAAAACTTGATTTCATAAGCTTAATGGGCTTTCAGCTCCTCAACTACACTATTTGTTATAAATACACATCTTATGGTTTTGAGTGGTAAGCTAAACAATTGAACCCAGACGAGCATTTGACCCGCGTTTCACCCATACGGGGAGCGCCTACCACCACACCACCGGGGTCCACCTTTGCTACCACTCTTTCTCCGACAAATCCTATCGTTTAACGATTATAGATTTCGGAAAGGTATCAGCTCAATTGGGTTTGATACCGATATGTGCTTATACGACCAGACCGAGTGATAGTTGGTTTCGACAGCTACGATAGTATCTATCAAAGAAAGAGTAGCAACACGGTGGCCTCGGTGGGGTAGTGGTAGCACGTGCCCCTGATATGTGTTAAACGCGCTTTTAACTCCTTCTTTGAGTCGTATGCTTTGCAAACCACTCAGTACCCTTAGGTATGTATTTATAAGATCATGGACTCCTGATAAGTGGTAAAAATAAGTTCAAATAGATCGTTCTGATTGTCCTGTTCTCGTAAAGCT